TCTGCCAGTACTCAGCATGGCGCAGAGGATGGGCCCTGAACCTCCCTTGCCCGGCCGTGAGGGCAGCGCCGCGCCAAGATGGCGGCGCGCTGCCAGTACTCAGCATGGCGCCTCCGCCCGCGGGTGCTGCTGAAGTACGAGCGTTCGATGTTTCTTTGGTTGTTTCACTTTAGCGGTGCTTGGAAAGAGCAGAAAGCTCGCGTGGCCAGAGGAGTGAACTGCTCCAGGGTGTGTGGGTGAGCCGCAGTGGATGCAGTTGGACCGGGCCGCGATGGGTGAGGTGGACGTGGCCCCTTGCATGAGGGGGTCGGGGAGGGCAGGGGAGCCCCTCGCTGGAACAGGGCTCCCCTGGGGGCTGTCCCCGGGCTCGGGGAGGCCAGGAAACGTCTGGGTTCTCGATGGCAGCACTCGGGGCAGCGCTGCCCCAAAAGCGCCAGTGCTGAGCCTCGGCTGTGGCAGAGTGAGAGAACCTTTGGGGTTGGAAGGAGCCTCTGTGGAGATCGCTCAGGCCAAACCCTGCTGACACACCTCGAGCAGCTGACACAGAAACGCGTTCAGGTGGGTTTGGAACGTCTGCAGGCAGGTGTTACCGATTTTAGGTGCTCTCTAAACACAGACACAGAGTTTAGTTTAGTACGGAGACGTTTATTCTGCTCAGGATGCAAAGTGGTTTCCACAGATCAAGCACACCAAAGCTTTTAACTACGTACACATTTCCGCAAACACAGACATTAACGTTCACTGCCTACAAGTTACATAATTCTCTTAATAACTAGTGTTCTGTCTTCTATTGGTTAATGATTCACTTGTCAAGCTAATAAGTCTGCATGCGCAGTCTTTCCTTCTTGTCGGTGGGTTTCTTATGTCAGCGGTTGCAGATTCCACCTGCCAGAATTACCTTTTACCCACTTGGAGCTGATTTCAGCACAGTTGCTGAGTTGGCTTCATTTGTTTCTTCTTATATTGGGAGTTCTTGCCAGATGGCCCCTAAATTCTGAATTCTTTGTGTCCACCGCCAGCAGGCATCCTTTTTTCTCAGACTTTGTTAACCTCTGCTAGGTCTGAAATCATTAAAACATTATCAAGCCCTAGACTTTAACAAGGCAATTTCATCAACAAATAACTTGTTTTTTCTAAAATCTAAACATCACTTATATTTGGAAAGCAGAAATATCAGCGATAATCTTACAGGTCCAACATGAGTTTTCTGAATTGTACATCAGCTGAAGGCTTGGGTTTAAAAATCTGTTATTTGGGGAGAAAAAGTTTCTAATTCACTTGAAATACGGAGTAATTTTCCTGTTGTGGACAAATAGGCTGCATTTGGAAAATCTTTCACGTTTCAGTCAAACATCATTCACATGGGAAAGCTGTTCCTGTTCAATCCATTAGAGCAACTGCTTATGTCAGGCAGGATGGGTGAAGTACAGACATCTGTCATTTAGCTTAACTTCTTAAATTATTCTAAGTCAGTGTGTAACTTCATCTACAACTAATATTTGGTCCTGTCTCAGTTGCACAGGAATGTCCTTCCTGGGTGAAATCC